TTAATGGATGTAGGAACAAAGAGACCGGCGGCTGAGTTGCGGTCGCGGTCTTCGCGCGTCGGGAGACCAGACCGGGGAGGACAAGGGGTGGTCGGTGGAGCTAGGCGAGTGAGATGCGATAAAAAGACGAGCCGAGCAATGGATAGGGAGATAGATGAGCCGACGAAAGCGCGCCTCTCCCCCGACTCTCGTTTTCCCAGTCTCCTTTCGCTCCTCTCTCCTTCAACGGGGGTTAAAGTTCGAGCGCCACCCCGATCGCCCGTTATTTACGTAAATCCTCGCTGCGCCAACCGGCACGCGCGAGAAGTGCTTCGCACGCGTATGTGCACGCGCTTGGTCTTCCTCCCTCCCTCCCTCCCTCCCTCCCTCCTTGGCGCTATTATGTGGAGACAGTCTTTTGGATTTCCGGCGGAAATAACCGTCAATTTCTGCAGGAAATATATGGATCGAATTTTTCTCACTCGTCGTCGTCGTCTCTTGTCGTCTTCCCTTTTTTCCTTTTTTAAGAAAGGGGGAGGAGGTTCATTGAGGTAAAAGTGTCGCGAGCTTTTCTCTCCGTTCTGATCGCATCGTCGCCGTTGGGAAACCGCGGGATCGGAAGTCGCATCGACGCATTCGGCAACGTATTGTTCGAGAGTCTACGTTTTCTATTTTTCTTCTTTACCTGACGCGGACGAAAGTTTTGGACTGACGAGACCTGCAAAATCCGTGCAATTCCAGCAAAAAAATAATTTCTATCTTTTATATGCTTCGCGAATATCGCCGGGGTGGAAATGTGTACGGGGCTGCTGTACGATGTTAATACGACGTAAAAATTATCGAGTGAATTTAAAATCCAGTCGGTCGGTCGGTCGGCCGGCCGGCCGGCCGGCGACAAAACGCGATACACACAGCTCGATCCGCGCACATTTTTCGCGAAAATATCGCGTCGCCGCTGTCATACCGGCTGTCCGCCTATGCGACCGATGAGAAAGCGCTTTCTTGCGCCGAGAAAGACCTATCCGGGAGAAAGCTTTTTTACCGTCAAGCTTCTACGTTGCCGCATTTCCTCGCTTCGCTGCCTCGGCGAAGCGAGGTGAGTATTATCCTCTAACGTGAGACGACGACGACGACGACGATGACGACGACGACGGTGGCGACGAAGTGTTCCGTCGACGGGACAGACTGGATTCGGCCGTTCGCCGCGTGTCGAAAGTGTCTGTCGCGCCGCGAAGTGAAGCAGACGTAGACGTGAATATGACACGCGCTGGGAAAACAGGCTGATCGAACAGCGCGCATGATTTCCCGTGTCTGTCAAAGTAAAATTGTAACGAGCTGAGCCTTAATGTTCGCTCGTTGAACCGAAGCTCGTTAGTCTTTCTGATTGTCTCTCTGTCGCGTCTAGATACGATGTATCGATACATCTGGCTGTCGAAATAACAAGTAGAGTCAAAAGCGAGGCGACGAAAAACCGCGGCATTTTCGCTCCGCTGAGCCGCGGACAAGGCGTCCGATGTCCGGCAGGAAAAATGTATCTTCCGGGAATCACCACAGAGGAAATTTTTAAAAAATTCTCTGTCCCATTAAAATACAGTCCGTGGTGTTTAATTTACGTACGAGTCGCGCAAAAGGATTCTCTTTGTGCGTTACACAAAGTCGTGTCAGGGCTCTCCGTCAGCCGTCCGGCGATTTATGTATGTTAACCCTTTGAGGTACGCATTTTTCAGAAAATCCGAATCACATAAAAATTTATATACGGAGATTCCTGGGGTCGCTGATGACGACGAATCCGTTATCAGATTTTCAAAATTCAAGATGGCGGATCCAATATGGCAGACGCAAAAATGAATAATCGCGATAATCTCGGTGACAATGGGTATTGTGGGGTTTTTGGAGTCGCTGATTACGAATCCGTTATCAGATTTTCAAAATTCGAGATGGCTGATTCAAGATGACGGCCACAAATATGAAAAATTAACTAACCGGAAGACAATGTCAGGTAAATATATTAGAATTTCATGATCCGCCAACTTGAATCTACAATCTTGAACAATGAGTTTTGGACCTCGGATTCGTACTCAGCGATCTTGAAAGCTAACCAAAGTACAATTTCAGCTAATCATATAAAAATTTTATGATTCGCTATCTTGGAAAATGAATTTTAGAATTTGGACCTCAGACTCGTAATCAGCGTGCTCAAAAACTAACCAGAGTACAATTTTAGCTAATTTTATATACATTCTATGTTCCGTCATCTGGAATTCGCTATCTTGGAAAATGAATTTTAGAATGTGAATCTCAGATTCATAATCAGCGACCTCAAGAACTAACGAGAATACAATTTTAGCTAATTTAATAAAAATTCTATGATCCACCATTTTGAATCCGTCATCTTGGAAAATTAATTTTGGAATTTGGATCTCAGATTCATAATCAGTGACCTAGAAAACCCCCAAATCTTGATTTTGAGCAAAAAATCCACTCATAGTTCATGGAAAATGATTTTTTTCTATAAAAATGTGTATTTTTCACACTTTGTTTATTCATAATAAACGGACAATTTATACAAAACATTTTTCAACCTTTCATGTACGTTCCCGTGTCATATAAGAAGCTAAAAAACGCAAGAAACCTGACAAGAATCCCTCAAATATGAAATATTTCATGAAAATGTGAGAATAAATAGGTGGTAAATATACTTACCACTATGCCTCAGAGGGTTAAAAGGGAAAAGAGTTCCGCTTTTCTCTCTCGCTCTTTTTCTTTTCGAACACGAACAGCAATTCTCCACATTTGCAAATTGGTAGACTCGACCGAAGGTTACGACGCGCTTCTTATCACCCGCGATCGACGCAAATCGTGTTTCACAGTTTTTCCGCTCGCCGTGGGACACATTTCGAGACACCACGTACATGTTGGCACGCCGCCAGAAGCAGAAGTATGCAAATTCAACGAGAAGCACGGAACGAAGCCCGGCGAGCGATTGACAAATTACAGGCCGGCGATCGATCGATTACCAACGACGCCGGTGACGACTGTCCGCCGGTAATGGATTGATTATCGCGCGGACAACGCGATGAAAACATCGGCCGTACAGCTGTTTTGCATGGCCGGCGTATAAACAATCGTGATGTAAATATTTGGACAACATTTACAAGAGCCACTTATAAACATGAACTCGTCGCGGCTCTGAGTCGTTGCGTTCCGAATATATAAAGAGCGAAAAAGCGGCTGGCTCGGGCGATAATGGAGTTTCAATAATAAAAGCAATAAGGGAATAATGTTACATATGCATCGTATGCTAAACAGAGCTCCCCTTTTTAATGCGCGCGCAATTGCGCAAACGCTGCGCCTCATTGTTGCCTGAATTTCAAGCCATTTCAAGTAATGTCAGTATATACGTATGCGCATTCGACGCCTGTGTTTTTAACGATAATCAATGCGATTTACGGCTGAATAATGCACGTGCGCTACGAAATAAGACGCTTTCTCAGCTTTCTCAGATTCTACGCTCACCAGTAAGCGTTGATGTTCCACGATGTCCGGTCGTCTACCAAGTTCGGGTCCTCGGCATCCACCGTCGGCAGTCGCACAGTGGGGTCGAATCTACTGCTCTGAACAAATTTACAGTTCACAGGCTTCAATTCTGGTCCGATTTAAACGACCTTTTTTTTTTAATGAAATTACGCACAAATCTGTCGTAGCTGATTTTGCAGAAAAAATTTTGCAAACTTTTTATTTAACAAAAACAGAAAACTAAAAGAGATCCTTTCGGTAAAACTTTTTTTACACAATTCTTTTATGCATATCTGCCCATATTTATACGTGTGTGCATGTGTGGGTATATACAGGGTGTCTCATTTTAACGTCCCACCTCAAATAACTCTTCAGTATTGAAGTTTCAAGGAAAATGATATGAATAAAAGTTGTAGGGAGTTGCCTTATGATGACCTTGACTTTGACCTCGACCTTGAAGGTCATTTGAAGGTCAACTTGCGTTTTTTAAATGGGAACCCTTATTTTTTATCACACTGTTTTTTTTCTACTACTAGTTAATTTGAAATTTTTATTTGTCTAATATTTTTTGAGATATTTGAGGAAAACTTGATAACTTTTTCAATATTTAACTTACGATATCTCGCTGACTATTTGTCGGAAGAAAAAGTGGTACTAGACTTTCTTTCTTTATTTAGTCTCAAGAATATATTGTTACAATAGCGCCCTGATTTTTGTTAATTTGATGATTTTGAAATTTCCAAAAATCAGTAAGTTAACAAAAATCAAGGCGCTTGACTTCTTTTATTCTTGAGACTAAATAAAGCAAGAAAGTCTAGTAACACTTTTTCTTCCGATAAATGGTTAGCGAGATATCGTAAGTTAAATATTGAAAAAGTTATCAAGTTTCCCTCAAATATCTCAGAGAATATTACACAAATAAAAAAATGTTTCAGACAAAAGTTGTTCAAATTAACTAGTAGAAAAAAAACAATATAATAAAAAAATAACGGTTCCCATTTAAAAAACGCAAGTTGACCTTCAAATGACCTTGAAAATAGAGGTCAAGGTCAAAGTCAAGGTCATCATAAGGTAGCTCATTTAAATCCCTACAACTTTTATTGAAATTATTTTCCCTGAAACTTCAATACTGAAGAGTTATTTGGGGTGGGACATTAAAATGGGACACTCTGTATAATATACATATACACTAACTCCATAACCTTTAACCCTCTAAGACTACGCATATACCCTAAACGCTGCACGCAGAAAAATGTTATCGAATAATTTACCAGCCTGTATCGCGCAACTGGGATATACTCGTACAATAGCAAAGATTTCAAGAAAGTATGCTATAAATTTACTATATGGTAAATATTATATGGTAAATACACTATATACTATATGATACATTTATACTTGCAGTTAGTAGAAACATAAATATATGAAATTGGATAAGATTAATTCAATTTTAAATTGTAATATAATGATATGAAATTGTTGGAACGTATTACGTACGTGTTTTTATATTATGTTACGGTTTGACTAATATGGTAATTTTTTTAATAGTTCATACAAATTTAGCTAGATACATGTTAGCTAAATGAAATTAAATTTGTATATACACGAATACACTCGCGATTATCGCGAATCGCGTGGAAAACAATCGCGGATGAAACATCAAGGCGCTTTTGATAATATTGACAGAGGAAGAGAAAAAAAGACACGATTTCCGCGAACGATTACGGCTTGTCAATAAACGAGATTCTTGTTTGGCGAGAGTTTGAAAGGACGATAAAAACGCGTAACGAGCATAGTTCCATATAATTTCCATGAAAGTGATATTATAGTCGATCGTGTATGAAAAATCGAACGGATTAATGGCGGCAACGATTGCAACATTTATCGCGCGCAATGAAAGCAGTCGCGAATTTCGTGAGTGGTTGCGCAATGCTTGTGCGCAAATTCTGAGCGTCGATTATGTTTAATTGAAACAATCGAGGGATCACATTGACTGATCAATTAATAGGATCAATTTGAAACTAATACTACGTATCAGTATCAGATATTCAATAAAGTTATTCAAAGTAACAATCGCCTGATTGTTTCGAGCTGTGTATCTCTGGACGTCGCAAACACAAACATGCAAAACCCTTTCACTGAGAGAAGTGTTTGATATTCACGAATGTGATTGCACGGTGGAATAATTAAATCTGGGAAATCTGTCAGCAAGCGCTACGATGTTCCTCGTAACGACTTTATATCAACCTGGCCTGACGCCAAAAAGGATGTTTAATTCACAATGCGATCGATCATCTTTTTTCTCTCAGAGTGCATGCAAGATTCTACGAGCTGAGTGTAAATCGCATTGATTTTTGACAGCGAACTATCGCCATATAAAACTCATCACCTAAAACTTTTGTTTCTCCCACATGCCAAAAAGTTTTGGGAACTCGGGATCGGCCGCGTTCAGTTACAGATCTGAAGCAAAAAGGGTACATCGCTGATTAGATACGAGGATTGATGACCTATAGAGAAAAATACACGAAAGCGTTAGCCTTTCGCGATCGTTGTGACTCGACGATTTCTATTTGGACCACCATGTCCCAGTTTTCGACCGCTGAGGGCAGACAAAAAGAAAATTATTGTACATTTACCAACCTTCGAGCCGATCCCGCTTAGCCCGAACCGAATCCTTCGATGCGGCATTCACTTCCGAAGTTGTACTTCGCGCTGAACGGGCTTGCGGCCGCAAGTTTCGTCAGATCTGAAGGAAAAGAGGAATTTTCCAATCAGCTACCTAGTGAAAATATACCGAGACATAGAGAGAATAATTGAATAAATGCTATTAGACTTTTTTACTCCACTCGGTCTCAACAATATATTGTTACAATAGCACCCTGACTTTTGTTAATTTGATGATTCTGAAATTTCCAAAAGTGAATAAGTTAACGAAAGTTAGGGAACTATTGTAACAATATGTTCTTGAAACCAAATAGAGTGAAACCAAAAAATCTAGTACCATTTTTTCTCCCGACAAATAGTTAGCGAGATATCGCAAGTTAAGTATTAAAGAAGTCATCAAGTTTTCCTTAAAGTTTACCTTAAATATCTCAAAACATATTAGGTAAATAAAAAAATATTTCAAACAAAAGTTGTTCAAATTAATTGGTAGGAAAAGATGATATAATAAAAAATGAAGGTTTCTGTTTCAACAAAATAAGTTGACCTTGACCTGACCTTGGTAACGCCACTCAAAGTCAAACTGATAAGATCAGTAAATATATCGTTTTGAACCTTATAACTTTTGTCTGAAACACTTTTCTGTAAAACTTATATCTTTCGAGATTTTTAAAGGTGTCCATCTTTTTTCCTTAGCCTGTATGTATTTGTGTTATTGTTTCCGTGCCGGGCAAGAGGCCATGTGATCTTTCGCCGGCAAGATGTGTCATAGAGAGCAGTTACGTTATTTACTCGATCATTTGATATACTCTCAACATCGTAATGTTACACATTATTTTATATTGCTCAATTTTCCCTCGCGAGACACTAAATCTGTCAAAATATATTTCAAAATATCATTTTTCAACGCGACTCCTCGCGCGTTTCATTTTCAAACACGGTTTTTCCCCTGGTGATAAAAGAACAATAAACCAGATTCGCTTTAACCTTTGTCGCTCGTCGACGCGTGAAATACAACTCCGCTCGATCGGTTTCGCCAAATTTTCGTTCTTCTGTTCGATTTGACTTCGCACGATTCTGCCTCTATGTAGTAATTAACTCCGCTCTATTATTTCAATCTTAATGGAAAAACGTTATTATTAATTGCAAAATGCTGTTGATGCAGGGTGCTAGGCCGATTCTAATCCAAAATAAATGACATCATCAAATCTGACAGTTTTTTAACAGCTAACAGCTGATCGTAGGTGGCAATCATTTGACAGCTATTAAGGAATTGTCAAAGCTGATGATGTCATTTGTTTCGGATTAGGACCGGCCTATCTCCTCCATTTTGGCTGCTATTGGCTGCGTTCAGAAAAAGTGACAGTTGTACAACCGTTTGGTAAAAATTATTTATGACTGATGTATACTTTTAGATCTACCAATAACACATTCCTCTTTTCGATCGCAAAGTCGATCACTCAATCGTTGTGTTTTCTGAACGCAGCTATTGTCAGAGTATCGTTACCAAGCAGGCAGCAACGGCTACTTTGCGGCGTTCTCTAAGCAAATTCGAGTGCGTTGTTTTAACATTTATAAACGTGTAATTGGCATTGAAGCTTTCTTTGCGGGTTCCTCGTCCTGAATTACGTCATTTAATTACGTTCAAACGTGTACGAAATTATGTCTAAACGAACTGAATGACGCGCTTTGGGACGACAAGAAATGCCTGAGAAGAAAGCTTCAGCCGATTGCGAGCTTGCACATGCGTACGCGAACGACACCGTAGGATTTGAGATATAGATGAGGGAGCCTCCGCGAGCGGCGACGCGCGACTCTCGATATTAAATCTAAAATTACTCACTGCGTGAGACGACATGTATCCGCGGAGACAGTCTCGCAGTCGGCTTTTCGAGTGGTCGCAGGGGAGCCCACATTGCCCTCGATGTTCAACAACGTACAGCGGGATGTATCCGCGACTGAAACAAGCGGCTTTGTCGTACGCTCCGCGGAGACGCGTGTCGAAGACTTAAGGTGTCCTTAATCCAACAGTGATAAGCGCGACGCGGGTGGCTACGCCTCCGTACTCTCGCTCGCTCTTGATCCCCGGAAATTGGATCGATAAGCTCTTATTCCAAACGTTGCACCTTGGATCGACCGCCGCCGCCGCCGCCGCCGCTGCCGCCTGAGAGATTCCCAGTCCCACGCCACTTCACTCACGCCCTCCCCTTGTGCACTCGAGTGCATACTGTGCAGAATATTTAGCTGCGCGTAAACTATTTGCAGCGCTCGCTAGTTATAACCAGTCGAGCCAAAGACTAATATGATGTAATTCGATTAGGGGGATCGGACCTAAAGCTACCGGAATGCGATCTCATCTCTCCCAACTCCTCCCCCCCCGCTTCTCTCACGCTCTGTCTCTTTCTCTCTCATCCCCCCGCTTTCCTTCCGCCTCTCTTTCTATCTGACGACGAGGATGATTCGCGGAAGTTCGGCTTCGTCTACGAAATGAATGAATTAATGAAGGACGAAGACAATACGCCAACTACAACACGAGTTGGGCGGTATTTAGTGTTAGGTTCTTATTCACGAGGTCGTGTTGAGTCTCTCTCTCTCTCTCTCTCTCTATCTATCTCTCAAGACGTACTGTACGGAGCGCTTCGTTGGCTACGAGGCATCTGAAGATAAACTCGAGACGATCTTAAATGTAAAATCTGACTGTATGAATATCGAGGCTGCGGAGCCTCGACCGTGTGTTCCCGCTTTCGGCTTTTGGGACTTCCGATCAGATTCGCCGATTGGTCTTTGTTTTTCTCGAGACTGGTCATAAGTACGTAAGGGGGGATTGACGCAGGAGCAGCCCTCTCGCGCTCGCCGAAGCGAACGATCGAGATCGCGCCGCGGTGCAAAAGTTCGCCATTCTCTGCCGTTATAATACGTTATTTTACCGAGTCGCGGTATAGCCGGTCGATGTGTTATTTGCGATTTTATTCGCGGGCGCGGGCGAGCGCGGGATTTAAACTTAAGCACGGTGCGACGTTATGAAGCACTATTGCCCGCGAAGGAAATAAAAGCGATTTAGTGTGCCGGGCATTGTTGTCGAGCGGCGGCGCAGGTGAGGTCCCGATATAATTCTTTTCGCTATCGCCCCGGTTGCCTCGGCCTTTCGTTTTATTTACGGAAAGGCCGAGGTGGAATAAGCGAAATTGATACGGATTAACTCAAGAATCCCTTAACTCCGTCACGCTGAAAAAGGAAATGAATATGAAGGACGAGAGCGCTTTAATTTTAACCCGTAAATTATCCGCGCTCCGGCGGCGCGAGCGCGGGTCAAAATTAAAAACGCGGCGAAGAAGAGAAGGGAGAGAGAAGGAGACCCCGTCGCGTCGTCTGGCAATTCGCGTTATCGATAAATTCGCATCACAAACGCGTCCTTCTCCACCTCTTCTCGTCGCACCCATTTGCAGCGGTCCGCTTTGTTAATTGATTTCACGTTGATTGAACGCTGCGTCTTCCATTGTTGTGCAAATTTCCGATTCTAATTGCAAACGAAATGCTCTCCGCTATATCCGCTCTCATAGCGCCGGCAGCTCTTACGAGTGACGAAATGAAAGCGTAATTAAATCCGATCTCCGATCTCCCTCGATCTCGCCGCACGCGAAAGTATCACCCTCGTCGTTGCGGAATCTGTGCGTCGTGTCGGTGGCGACGTTAATGGTGGCCGATAAGCGGCAAAATCGCACGGGACCAAGTACAATTTCGTTTTCGAGCGACGAGCCAGTGTTGCCTTTCTTTATCGCGGCTGCCCGCGTCGGTCGTCGTCGGGTGTCGCGCGTGACGATGATAAATTCCGCGGCGCGGACGGCCCGGCGATCCGCGGAGGACCGCGCGTCTCGCGGGATGTTCGCGATCGCGGAATGTTAACACGTCTCATGGCGCGTGTTTCAGCAAGACAGAGAGAGAGAGAGAGAGAGAGAGAGAGACAGAGAGAGAGAGAGAGAGAGAGAGAGAGTCTCGTTGTCAAATATCAACGACGACGAGCGATCGATTCGCGCCCTTGTGAGCCTCTCTATTAATTCGGATCCATCGATGCGATACTCCACCAGCTGCCAATCACCGTTCCCCGTCGCCATTAATACGCCCGGTGCCATTAATCCGTGGCGAAAGGTTATTGCCGATTTTTATGAACGCTGGTGGAAGGAGCCGAAAAAAGGAAAAAAAAAACAAAATCCGAACGAGGAGCCGCACACGGTTACCGGTAGTTTACGGTCGCCCGGCGAAAATCCTGATTAACTTTTCGGCGACTCGCCCGCTCTTACGAGCGCCGGTCATCAAGATGGGATATACCGTAGTGGCCTTGCACGTCGACCCGATTAATTTTTCGCTACGGTCGTTTGATTCGAACACCGCTGTCGCGCTCTCGCAGTCGCGAACTGCGTTTTTGTCGACGGAGCTCGGCTTCTTCCTCTCTCTCTCTCTCTCTCTCTCTCTCTCTCTCTCTCTCCCTCTCTCTCTCTCCCCCTCTTTTTCTCCACCATTCTCCGAGTCCAAGTTTTGGTTTCACATCAATTCTGCGGATATGTAGAGTCCAAATTTCGACTCGGTTTTCCAGCCTACCATAATTTTGGACGAATAAAATTGGCATTCGTTGTTTTCGACCGTTCGTTGCTCGGTCGAGGAAATTATTTCGCATATTTACTTGCAGCCTGCTTTTTCCTCTTATCGAGATAGATCTGAGGAATAATGGATTCTCGCAAGTTCCTCCTCGGAGACGCGTAACTCTTAAAACTCGAGTAAGATATTCAGTAAGAGCAAAAGAGAGAGAGAGAGAGAGAGAGGGAGAGGGAGAAAGGGGGATAGAGAAAGAAAGACACAGAGGAAGTAAATAAAGCGACGGTTCTGGGGACGGTGCGCGTACGCAGTACGCTTTAATATCTCGCGATCCGTAGCTTCCATTTTATTCTTTTCGATCCTGCCGCGGATACACGACCCTCTCGACGTGGATTAATATTACGACAGTCGGGGGACGAGGACTAACGTGCGCGTCTGTTAAAAATGAATGAAATAACGAGCTTAATATCCCGGCTGTTCCGAATTTCACGTGACTCGTAACGCCGGCCGCTTGAGTTCCGCGAAATTCGTCGTCCGGGAAGCACCGTCCTTGCAAATTTTCCTCAAAATGTAATCCTTACCATATACGCGCGGATGTATAACTCGCGGTGCTGTACGGCCGGCGTCTGAATCGCAAAGAGAAATGCCTCGGAGCCGGTGGAACAATAGCATCCTGTTTTAGTAATTCAACCTGCGCCACGCTTTTCTGTCATTCTTCTGGAGCGCCACGGCGCACGCTGCATTGTATCAGAAATTCTCGCGGGTATCGCCGACGCGCTCGCCAAACTGCACCGAATCCCTGTGCGCTCGGTGCATTTCACACTGATTGCATCACGTGAGAGCAGAAAAAGAGAAGGGGGAAGAGAAAGAGGGGGAGAGAGAGGGAGGAGCGCGAGAAACAGTGATAATTGACTGGAACCACTTGCGGTTACAATTTTTCAATTTTTCGGCGCATTATTGTCCCAGAGTTGGACAACACAGTTACTGTGTTGCAAGCTACTTTTTCCAGCAACTTCTTGGCGAGAATATTATTTTCCCTCTTGAAGCAATGCGAGATATTCTTGAAAAAAAAACTAACTTCCCCGACCGTGATTGATAATTATCGTCACTTGAAATTAAAGCTTCTGGAACAATGTCGCGGTTCCATTCTTTTCCGGCCGCCAACTCTCTCTCTCTCTCTCTCTCTCTCTCTCTCTCTCTCTTTCTCTCTATTTGTGGGAGCTTTAAATCCATCCCTCTGTTCTCCCCTTTCCCTACCTTGCCTTCTCTCTCTCTCTCTCTCTCTCTCTCTCTCTCTCTCGTTCTCTCTGCCTCCATCTTTATTTCGGCGCCGGCAGTAGAAAAAGTCGTCTTAGAGCGGACATCGAGTCGACGGGCAAAAATGAGAAAATAAGTACGAGAGGGAGTAAATGGCGGGAAGCAGTCGCCACGGAACGTCGCGGACGTTGTACGATAAAAGTAAATAAGCCGGTGGGTGTCTCCGGGACGTGATGGTGGCGTACCGGCGGCGGAGTAAGGCCCTTTCGTTATTAGAAGCCGCTCTGCCGCCATTCCGAGGAGCCCCTTCCAGTCCCCGTGAGCGCGCGCGGCAGTGGCTTTTCTCCGCCGTCCCTCTCGCCGAGCGAGAGAGAGAGAGAGAGAGAGAGAGAGAGAGAAAGGGAGGAAGAGAGAGAGAGAGAGACAGAGAGAGAGAGAGAGAGAGAGAGAGAGAGAGAGAGAGAGAGAGAGAGCTTTACTTTCACTTAGCTTACGGGCAGGCTATCGCCTACGTGACAGGGCACCCCCGTCTCTAATCCCATTTCTATTAGCTTCTCTTCTCGCCGAAGAGATACTCACGCCTGTCACGGGATGCTTTAAGGGACGCGTTTCGTGGAGATCCACGCCCGCCTTAAAGCCCGCTTCTAGAAATTAGGGTGTTTGAACGGATTCGCGGGATGAAGTTACGCGCGAGCGCGACAAGCCAGGTTATCTGGGCTAATTGGCCGACACGACGGCATTCGGACAATTACATTTAACGTGCGGAAGGGAGACCGTTAATTCGTTACGTGATGCACGTTATACGGACGAAGACGCGCGAGCGGGGAGAGAGAGAGAGAGAGAGAGAGAGAGAGAGAGAAGAGGAGAGAGAGAGAGAGAGAGAGAGAGAGAGAGAGAGAGAGAGAGAGAGAGAGAGAGAGAGAGAGAGAGAGAGAGAGAGAGAGAGGGAGAGGAAAAATCGGGCCGCAAGAACGGATAAATTGATTCGTCGATTCTCCGTCAGAGTTTCGCTCGGAGCCTCGGAGCTTGCTGCAATCTCGCGCCGATCAGCGAAAGTAAGCGAGTGATCGTTAAATATCGCTAAATGACGTTACACGCGAACATTACGTAGCCATCGTCGGCAGCGGCTCGCGCAAGTGGCAAGTATCCTAGACGCGAACACGTTTTTATCCCCAGGCGGAAACAACGAAAGCAGATATTTATCAGCGCGCAGGCGAGACTGTCGCGCGCGCGACATATCGGAAGGTCGCGCGCGACGGCGC